AAAAAGGAAAAGGAAAACAAATGAATACAGATAAAAGCTGCTACTACTAGTTACTCCTATTACTTGAAGTCTTCCTTTTCTGTTTTTCTACTGGCTCCTATTTTGATGACTTTACATATGGTCAGTGTGCATATAATTCTGCCAAAGCCAAGAACCGGTTTCATCTGTGGGGAAGTCACTGGAGTCACGGAGATTCTTTACTCTTTGCATTGGCATGTGCCCAGGTAATTTACATGGTGCTTAACCTTTTTGGCAAATGTTTAAGAGCCTTTATTACCCTTGTTTCAAATTCCTTGTACTTACCTGCAGTTTGGTGGATTGGAAGGGGGTGGCTGGGATATCATCAATGTTCAAATGTCCAAGTTTAAACACTAGGAGATTGAATTTCTTCTGTACTTTCTTCTTTTTTCCTTTTTTTTAAAAATCATTTAAATATGCATAGGAGATTGAACTTCTCATATGATACTAATGATGCTAGATAACTTGTTCTCTTTTACATCCGGAAAAAGTTGTCACAGATCTAGTTTTGTTCTTAATAAAATGTTTTGCAGGTCATGTATTCCTTCATAATGCGTCCTGAGANGAAACAAGAAGGAAAAAAAAGGAAAAGAACTAGAGAAAAAAGAAAGGAAACTTTGTCTCTGATAGTTGAAGTATGTTGTTATCAATTCTGTAGTACTTGCCTTGTGTTTTTTAAGTTGCCTGGGTCCAGTATATAGCAATATTACGAGGACCATGTGATGAACAATTACGAAGGTCTACACTTTAAGTTATGTTATTGTTACCTAGAGTAGTAGAATTGCTACTAAAGTAATTCTGTTGAAAACTTGCTGATCTTATTTTAATGTTATCCCAGTTTATGGATGCTCCTACGCGCACCTGTTGGTATGCTCTTACAGGGGCTGTTCGCTCAACAACCTTCTTGTCCGCTTTTGTTGGAATCTTTCAGGTAGTATATGTTCTCGATGCCTCATACCTCTGGTAGTCCCAAGGCTCTTTTTGTGATGCTGCTGGTTGACTCGCTTAGCTTTACTGATTAACTTCTCTATCTCAATAAAAGGCTGCTATATGTTCCCACCGGAAGGTGGCGTCAAAGGACCATAAGCTTGTATATTGGGTAGCTGGGGCACTCTCAGGCCTCTCTGTGTTGCTGGAGAAGAAAGCTAGACGTGGCGAACTTGCCTTATATGTTCTTCCTCGAGCTGCAGATTCTTTATGGTATATACTAGTGAATCGCCATTTGCTTCCGGCTATCAAGAATGCAGAGGTATCTTGTCTCACCTTTAATGCAATTTGGTGCTTTGCGGTGTTAAACCACTCAAAATTTCCTAAATTTTATGACTACTTTAATAGCTTGCTTGTATAAATTTAAGCATATATCCTGGATAAACATTGAAAGAATTGAACTACTTACGGGAAGTTTGTTCTTGAAATATTGGGTTTCTCTGAAAGTACAGTTTTTTCAAATATTTAAATTTCATGAAATGAAACTTCTCAATCAAATATGCGGTGTCTGATTGTTATACAGGTGCCCTTGTTTTGTGCCTGTATGGGTGGTATTATGTACTACTTGGAGCATGAACCAGACACCATGGCTCCCTTCCTCAGGGGCCTGATCCGCCGCTTCCTTGCTAGCAGAATCAGCAATCCTACTCCTCCGTCAAATAGAAGTGCCTCTTATACATATCTACACACTCTCGATGCTATGAAGGAGCCAAAAATGCCAGAAAACCGAGAGACTGAAACTTTAACTGCAGAGAAATACAATCTTGAATCTATACCAGGACTTTGAGCAACTTTTTGACGCTCAGGCCAAGCTATGTTTTTCCTATTCATTATACCATTTCATATTGGTTATCAGGCAGCTATTCGATGCTCATTTTGATTAAACTAGAACTTTGATCAAGTTTGATTCTTTCCCCTTCTTTACATAATTGATACATGACATAAAGTTCTCAATTGTATGTAGGTGAAAGCTAGTAGTTCTGATGAGATACAAAATCTGATCTGATCTTGTAAATAAATTTAGCTTGTTTAGTTCCTGCTTTGACTGTCAGAGATGGTATAGTAACTATACTATAGTTGTGTTTAACTGTTGAAGTTGATACAACTTAGTTTGACATCATAATAAATCCATTTTTGATCCCCTGATAATCAATGTTCATCATGTCGATTTACTATGCAGAGTTGCTTGTGCAGCTGAATTTCAGCCAAGTCATTGCACCATTATTATGATCAAGCGGCAGTCCTCTCCCCCATTTACTGACATTACTGTTATTTTCCCGGTAAGAATCAGGCTGCTTGAGCTGGGATGTTCAGAAAGAAGCCTGGATTATTGCGAAAACTGTGTTCGAACCTCACCAATTAGATGATCAAATATGGGGGGAAATGATCAAGGGCTACATCTGGGCCAAGTTGCATGACTGATGGTAATGGGCCTTACATTTCCCGTGAGTTGGGACTGTTGTAATCCTTACACTTCTATATCACATGAAATTAAAGAAGAGAAAGAGGAGGGCGAGACGTGAACTTGTTAACAACTATGTGCGCTTGGTGAAAACTATCCACCAAATCGCATGTTCTTATTAAAAGATAATTTTAAGAAGGATTATTTAGAGATAAGAAGGTGCTTATCTTAGAATTTAGATTATAAATTATCTAAATTTGAAATTTTTAAGTTTATTTATAGCCTATTTGGCCAAGCTTCAAAAATCAGTTTATTTTGAGAAGTGTTTTTTCTCAAAAGCACTTTTGGTGAAAAATAATTTGTTCGACTAATTAATTTGATAAACACTTCTGAGCAGCAATTAGTGTTCGACCAAACTTTTAAAAGTGCTTCTAACTGTATTTTCTTCAAAAGTGCTTTTCAAAAAGGAAACTTTATAACTGTCACAGTTTAAAAGAAATATAACAAATTCTTAGCATGAAACTCAATATTACAGTTGTAGCAAGAAAATATTTATATTTGTAGTACACAGTTCCATTAAAATAGAAATATTAATTATTAATCCGTAAACATAAGCAATTTGAATGGAAAGTCAATAATTCTTTGTACAAAAATCATGCCTTTTTCTCTTTTTATCTATTAGCTTTCCTTCTTTTTCTTCATCTTCTTAATTTTGTTTTCTGCCGAAGCCAATATATTTTCTAAATTTGTTCCATTCGTTTTCTTTTTAATTATCTTTCTTAAATTTTTCTCTTCCTTCTTTCTTCCTTTCTTAACATAAAGATCTTACTTCGATATACAAAAAAATATACATAAAAAATATATCTTCAATTAAGATGACAGTTAGCTAGCGTTTGGCCATACATTTTCAAATTTATTCTGAAAAATCTGATTTGGGTGAAGTTTGGTTTGAAAATGAAAATGTGTTTGGACATCTGTTTTGGGTGATGTTTGGTTTGGAAAAACATGAAACATGACTTATACCCACAAGTTCTAAAAATTATCACAAATACCCAACAGTACCATTATCAATAACATTCATTATATTATCGCAAATCATAGTCCTGAACATAAATAAATTTGATACAAAATTATTATTTTTATAATGAACTACATGATACACTATCAGATGACCGAGAAGACGAAGCAACATTGTTACAAAATAATAAATAATGGGCTCTTTTATAAAATACAAAAGTTTGGGGCAATTTTTAAAAAATATAATAGTGATATTTTGGCCCAAAACCAGCTAGCTGGTTTTGGTTTTGGGATTTGGAATTTGGCCAAAATGTAGGCAAAATCTATGGCCAAACATGTGTTTGCTAAATAAAATCCAAATTTATTTTAGCAAAATCTATGGCCAAACGGGTCCTTAGACATGTGAAATATACATAAAAATATATACCTTAAATTTAATTAAGATGGCATATAAATATACAAAAACAATATCCATAAAAAATACATCCTAAATTAAAATGGCGCTTGACATATAAAATATATTTGAAATATACATAAAAAATACATCTTAAAATAAGATGACACTTCATAAATAAATATACAAAAATTATATACATAAAAATACATTTTGAATTAAAGTGATACTTGATATACAAAGTATAAAAAAAGTATAAATCAATACATCTTGAATTTAGGTGACATTCAAATATGCATCAGATTTTCAAAAATGGAGTGAAGAAGATGAATGTTGGAAAGAGAGAATGGAGATGGGTAAAAAAAGTACTTCCTGTGATTAGTGAGTCAGTTAACTTATTAAATATTGAGATTAATTTTTATAATATGCTAATAATAAAAAATAAAGTGCTATTTATGGAATAAATAATAAATGATGCTATTTGTTTTTAAAATAATAGTTAAAAAAGGATCAAGCGTATAAAAAACTCTTTCAAGAAAGTACTTTTGGGGAGAAACTATTTTTTCTTGCTTTTTCAAAACTGCTTCTGCTTCTTAAAGCTTGGCCAAATACTTCAACTTTGAAAAAAAAATACCCCCCACAAAAAGCGCTATTGGCTATAGAGAAGCTTGGCCAAACGGGCTATTAACATGAATATAGCGACATAATGAATTCTTAATACTCGGTACACCACTTTGTAATTCCCTCCCCTTCCCCTCATGTGTATTAAAAAAAAAAAATCAGTTGATAGTCATAATTAATTAAGTTGTTAAATAATGAGACAATCACACTTCGATCGGTTGGAGTGCAGCCCTTGCTTGTTGCTCAAATCAACTGTATAAGTGCCGCGTTAAGTTATCGATGGAGAGACTTTTTAATATTGAGAATAAAAATAGAAAAAGAGAGAATAAAAAAGGTAATTTATTAAAAATTATTCCATTCTCCAATTATTACAACAATCCTAACATTAAAGTTATTATACTTTTGTTGCAAAAATTCTTTTTAAATTTAAATGTATATACATTTTTTTTAATAATACATATACAATATATCTTTAAGAAAAAAAATAAAGCCTCAAAAAGTTGGTGTTCCAAGCGATTGTTTTACTGGCCTTATAGTGTGAGAAATAGAGCTGGGGTTGATTTTTTCGTTTGAAACTTGAAATAGCCGTTTGAGATAGTAAATCAGAGGGGAGTCCCGGGTTGAACTTGAATTCCTGCTCTGGCGATTCTCTGTGTATGGCCAATCAAAATTCAAAAGTCTCTTGGCCTTTTGTGTTGACTGAATCCTTGAAAATTAAAGAGAGATGGAGTGTTTAAAAGAAGCTGTGACAGTAAGGAGAGATGGGAGAGGGAGGTGGCAATCGGCTGCTATAGCTGAAAGTGGAAGGAGAAGAGAGGTGGGGTAAATAGAGTTTTACGCTAAACGGGTCATGGGTCGGGTTCTTTTAAGTGGGTCTGTTGGGTATGTTATTGGGCTATTAAGAAGTGGGTTTCAAATAAGAAGAATTAACTCAATAGCCGCCCCTTAATCGTAAAAATTGCACGGGGCGCCTATTTGGTCGCCCCCATTTAACCTATATCCACTTTTTAAAAAAGTTTTAACTTGTACCCACTTTTTAAACAATTTCAGGCCTCTTTCTCCTCCTCTTTCATTTTCTGAATGCTGAAGCTTGAGATATTGTTATGCGATCTAGCCTGATGATTCATATATATCTGCTTGTCCCATTATGTTCAGTTTGGTCTTATTCACAATAATTTAACCTCTTAGATATTTTAGCTTTACAGACACATTGATTTTTGGTTCTAATTTATCTGTAGTAGCTTGTTTTCATGTCGAAAATATTTTTCATTCTTTAATCTTTGAAATGAACAACATCAATCGCTGCTAATCATGATTTATTAAATTCATTGTTGTTTAGTACTATTTCGTTTATGTACAATATGTTCTTTTGTTGAATTCTTTTTTTGAAAGATTATCTTCCTCATTTCCGTGTGTAGACTTAGAACTTTAGCTCTAAGAATGCTGAAGTTCAACAAATATAAATAAAAACTTCAGCTCCTAGAATGCTGAAGTTCAGCAATTACCAAACAAACTTCAGCTCCTAGAATGCTGAAGTTCAGCAATTACAAAACAAAAACTTCAGCCAAAATATGCTGTAGTTTTATCGAGCTGAAGTTTGCCATTGCACTATGAACTGAAGTTTGTGTGATTGCTTTTGCAAGTCAGGCCAAACTTCAGGCAAAAATATATGAAGTTTTGCTACATTTCAGGCAAAACATTTTGAAGTTCAACCTTCAGACATAAATTTTTGCTACTTCAGGCCCGTATATCTGAAGTTACCTGAAAAGTGGGTACGCTTGTAATTTTTTTTACAAAGCGAGTATAAGTTAAAAGTTGACCCAAAAACTAGGTATAAATGCAAATGCCCCCCTCCCCCCCCCCCCC